AAACATAGGTACAATACCAAGGAACATGCATGAAAAATGTGGGGAAGGAATGGAAAAGGTTGGCGTCCTTGGCGCTCTGAGAGGCGCGGGGCGCCAGACCACAAAGTTCAGAGGGCAGTTTGGGGCGCTCTGCTAGGCGCGCCGCCCCAAGGGCTGGACTTCAGAGCCCCCTTTGGGGCGTGCTGGCAGGCGCGACGCCCCAGCCCTTTTTCCCAAAAATCCGACTTTTCCCCCTTGATTATCCAACTATAAAGCCTTTCAACAACAAAGATTCTTCCCCCCAAACACTTAGAATCATCAAAACCCTCAACATACAATAGATTCAACTCAAAAACACCACCGGAGACATACACCAAACCAACAAGAACTTCAACACAACACAACTACAACTTCAACAAACATCACCACAAGATTTCAACAACCACAACTAGATCTTTTCTCGAAATTTAAAACAAGTTTGGTGTGTGGGGGAAAGAACCATCCCAACACTATGAACTCACATACCTAGTAGGGATCACCCCCGACGATATCCACGACGAAACTTTGCTTGATCTTCTCTTTCTCCTCTTCTTCTCCTCTTCACTCACAAACCCTTACTCTCACTCTTATAAAAGGGAAAACTGATTTAAAATCAGTCTAACACCTTAATATATATCCAAAAGGCAAGGCTAGGGAAAAGACCAAAATACCCTTACAATTTCCGGACTAACTTCCCTTACCAACAGCCCAACTTCGAAAGGGCATAACTCACTCATACGAACTCGGAATCGAGTAAACTCAGCGGTGTTGGAAAGATCATTCTACGGGCTTCCCAAAAAAACTGGAACTACACCCAAATCATCCTGAGTTAGGAGTTATGACTGTTCAAAGTTGGCCAAAAACTCACTCTTTCCCATACTTAACTAAATTTTCCAGATTTTTAAATTCTTTCCAAAAATGACTATTTTCAATTCTATGCCTCTTCATAGTTATTTCAAATTGCCGGATGTTACAACATAGGCATCCAAATACTCTTAAATGATGTAAGGAAGGTTGTTTATTATAATGTTTCTCAAAAGGAGACAAGTTTGCAATCACAATGCTAGGTAGTTTGTTGATTATATATACTGCAGTTTTCACACAAGCCCCAGAACTCTAAAGGAACATTAGCTTGGAACCTTATAGCTCTTGTAATCTCTAGAATATGTCTGTGCTTTCTTTCAGCCACCCCATTTTATTAGGGTGTATAAGCCTAAGAAGTTTGATGTACTATGCCTAAACCTTTAAACAAGTCATTACAATTTGTATTCACAAATTCAGTACCATTGTCACTTCTAATAATTTTTACTTGTTTATCAAATTGAGTTCTTATATATGCTAAGAAAGACTTCAAAATGGTACATACACCAGACTTCATTCTTAATAAGAAAACCCAACTCATTCTAGTGTGATCATCCACAACAGTTAAGAAGTATTTAAATCCATCAAATGTAGGCTTTTTATAAGGATCCCATAAATCCATGTGTAACATATCAAAGTTGTTTAAGCTACTGGATGTACTAACAGGAAAAGGCAATCTAGTTTGTTTAGCACAAGGACATACAACACATTTGCTTACAATCTTTGTAATATCAGCTAAACTATGACTTAACAACTTTTTTAGAACAGAACTAGAAACATGACCAAGCCTCTGATGTAGTAACTGAGTATCTATTTTTTCAGTAGTTCTAGCTTTATGCTCAGTGTGTGTAGCTGCTAACACAACTTCTTCCTTATCTATACTGTTGGACAGAATATACAATCCTCCATCCTCTTTACCAATCATCTTCACCTTTCCACTGAAGAGTTCCTGAAATAGGCAAAAGTCAGGGAAAACCGAAGCTGAACAATTCAATTCTTTTGTTAACTTTGTAACATACAAGAGATTGAACTTAAATTGAGGAATGTAAAATACTTCTGAAACTATATTGTTTCCATCTAATGTACTTGACCCTAAATGAGTCACCACAACTTTATCACCATTGGGAAGGTGTACCTTCTTTGGAGTTGCAACCTTACATATGGAATGTCTTTTTAAAAGATTTAAGTCAGCCACAACACGATTAGTGGCTCCTGTGTCTATGATCCAACCTGAACAATTGTTAGAAGCAGCTACTAGAGTAGAGTTCATACCTGCTGCATTTACACAATGTGGAACTTCTGATTTTTTCTCAAGCAACTGCAAAATTTGAGAATATTGGTCTCTAGTCAATGCACACGAGTCCAGTTTACTCTGAGTTCTGAATTCTTCATCACCTCTCATGTGTCCATCTCTTGCATCACTAGAGTTAGTACTGGTACTTGACTTCACACTATCATCAACCTCTCCAGTTACATTGTATGCAGAATTACTACTTCCTTTCTTTTTGAACTTAAAGTCCTGTGGGTATCCAATAATCTTGTAACAATTTTCTCTAGTATGCCCTTTAATCTTGCAAAAATCACACATCAGATTATACCCTTTCTTGAACCTCTATTGAGCCCCACTTGTTCTTGAGTACATGACAGCATCAAATGAACTCTGCAATTTAGCTGGTCCTGTACCTAATACTCCTGCATTAGCTACCACAGATCTCTGATTCTCATCACTCAGAATCATGGAATATGCCTGATTGACAGTAGGTACTAGTTTTAACATAAGAATTTGACTTATTGCTTGCAAGTAAGAGTCATTTGGCCCCATCAAGAATTGAAACAATTTCAGAGTTTGAAGATGCACAACATACTCTTTCGAACCTGCACAAGCACACCCTGGTGCTGGAACTAAGGCCTCAAATTCTTCCCATAGTCCTTTGAGCTTAGTGTAGTAAGCAGACACAAAACTTGTGCCTTGACTTGAAGTTGCAATTTCCTTGTGCAGATTAAAGGTTCTTGACCCATCGATCTTGTTGAATTTTTCAAACAGATCATCCCATACTACTCTAGCATTCGAAGCATACATTATGCCACCTAACAAGCTTTTTGACACATAATTCATGATCCAAGATAACACTATGGCATTGACTCTTTCCCAATTATTTTCTAATCCTAGGAAATCCTCGTTCTTACATGACCCATCAACCATCCCCAACTTGTTCCTCCCTAGCAATGCAATTTTCATTAACCTAAACCAACTGAGTAATTCTCAATTCTAGTCAACTGAAACGATACTATTTGTACTCCACTAACATCAGATGCATGCAGAAACATAGGATGATTGTGATCTATCACAATTGCAGCACCACTACTAGAACCAGTAGGTTGTGCCTGCGAATCTGCAGAATTTGGTGTCATTCTTGAACTGAATCTTCACGTAGTTGATTTGTAATCACTCATGTCGAATAGTCGCAGAATAGTATGAATCAAGCAATGGATTACTTGCTTGAAAGCTCTGATACCATGTAGTTTTATAAAACTTAGAATTAGGGAGAAGAAGAAAAAGAATAATGAGAGTAAGAAGAAGTAATAGAGATCAGGAAGAAGATGAAGTAATCTTTAAAGAAGATGAATCTTGCTAGTGTTAAACACTCTATGCTTTCATTCTTATTATTTCTTCATTTTGTATTCATTATGTATATGTATCTATTTATATACAATAGCTTGTAAGCTTGTAACAAACTAGTAAGGCATAACTAACTTAACTAACAGTTAGTTACTAATCCTAACTAACTTATAATCTTTGCTTATCTTTCAAGTCACTCCTATTAACACTAACAACTCAGTCTCAAACAATTACTAATTTTGTAACATATTGTCACACTCTTCAATATGGTATAATAGGACTGTGCTTGAGCTTCATTGTCACCGTAATAAAAAGAATTTTCACATGTTTGAGTCATAAAAAAGGCCGCACATGAAGGGGCATGTTAAGAAAATACTTTAAGTGCATAAAAGTTTCATGAAGAACCTTCTATTTATGTATGCCTCTAAAAATTACACACTTCTTCCAAAAATTTCAAGAATCAAAGACCCTCTAGAATCAAATGTTACATTAGACAGAACAAGAAGAGCAGAAGGAAATAAGTATAAAGACTCCCGTCTTTTTGTTACCTTAATTATTTGCACCTATAGTGAACAAGCTGTAGCTACACTTGACTTGCCTCATTAAGCAACAACTGTTCCAAGCATTCAACTTGACTTATATTTGATTCACTTGTTCTGCAGCTTTCAAGTGAATAAAAATGGAGAGTACTGCTAGAGACATTTTAAAGGTTAGCATAGCGCCCGATTGAGTAGTACAATTGATGTGTTCTCGATGTCTTCTCGAGCAGAAGACGATGAAGAAGCATTGAAATGGGCTACTATAAGGAGAGGTATATTAAGTGAACAAGGACAGTCTAGAGAAGTTGATGTAACAGATCTTGGATTAGTAGAGAAGAGGAATTTCTTAGAGAGACTTGTCAAAATTGCTGAGGGAGACAATGAGAAGTTCTTGTTAAAGCTCAAACAACGCATTGACAGGTAAAATGGCCTACCTATGATGTCATTTTCGGCGTTTAGACTTAAGATTCTGTCATATCAAATGTTTAAACGCCCGTTCTCTTATGAACTGTCGTAGATACTGAAATAGAGTTCTTTTCCTGATTAATGGTCTAGTAGTAGTACCTACAATTAGATATTTGATATTTGATACTCTTACCTCAATGAATTCTTGGTTTTCGAAGATGACAGAGTTGGTCTTGATCTTCCAAGAATAGAAGTACGCTTCGATCAATTGAGTGTAGATGCAGAAACTAATGTTGGCAATAGAGGTGTACCTACAATATTCAACTTCACAGTTAACATCTTAGAGGTAATTTAATCTGAACTTTTATCAAGCATAAATAGTATTGAAGATATATGCCATTACTTCATGCAAGGTGCTGATCATGCTGTTACTTTGCAAAGGGTTTCTTGAATTCTCTTCATTCTCTTTCAAATACAAAGAGGTCATTGCCAATTCTTCATGAGATCAGCGGAATTGTCAAGCCAGGAAGGTAGGAGACTATTCTGTTAAAAACACTTTCATACTCGGAACAATTTTGAATATCCTCTTCGTTCATAATCTTTCGAGATCATAAAGTAAGAAACATAAGTCACATACAGACTAGAAATTTAATTCAGGCAATCTTGAATTTCATGTCGATGACTTTATGCATTCTTGGCTCTTGCTGAGGCTTTCAAATATCCAAGAGTGTGACATACAATGGTCATGGGATGGCAAAGGGCATCTGCTTATATAAGTCAGAATGATCTTCATATAGGAGAATTAACAGTCAGGGAGACACTAGCCTTCTCCGCAAGATGTCAAGGAGTTGGACCCAGATATGGCCGGAGACATTTTCTCATCTTATGAACTCTGATAATTAAGCAAGTTTCATCTCTAGAATTGGACTGCTGGACATTTTCTTAAAAATTATGTGGAAATGTTAGCTGAGTTGTCTGTGAGAGAGAAGGAAGCAAACATTAAGCCTGATCCTGATGTTGATATCTTTATGAAGGTAAAGACGTCTCAATAAATATTCAGTCTTACTCTTTGTCAATTTTGATGAGAAATGACTCGATTATTGGTTTTTTGTCCAACACGCAGCTTCAATAGAAGGGTAGGATGCTAGTGTTGTAACAGACTATATTCTCAAGGTAAGATGTCATTTCCTGAATTACAAGTTCAATGAAGAAATGTTTCCTGCAATACAAAGTTTCATTCTGCAAATTTTGCAGATATTGGGACTTGACATCTGTGCTGATACCCTCGTTGGAGATGAAATGTTTCAAGGCATTTCAGATGGACAGTAAAAGCGAGTTACTGCAAGTTAGAGCAAAACCTGATGATCCAGAACCTAGCTATAGTAATTAATGGTTGAGGGAATAAATTATCGTACTTGAGGTTCTAAAAAATTGATGATAACATATCATACAGGGGAGACGACGGTTGGACCAGCTAAAGCACTATTCACAGATGAGATTTCAACTGTCTTAGACAGTTCAACAACATTTCAGACAATGAATTCAATCAGGCAATCAATCCACATTCTTCAAGGAACTACTATGATCTTACTCTTGCAGCCTGCACGAGAAACTTATAACTTAGTCGGTGACATAGTTCTATCAGATGGACAAATTGCTTACCAAGGTCCACATGAAAACATCTTAGGGTTCTTTGAGTACATGGGATTCAAATGCCCTGAAAGGAAAGGAGAAGCTGATTTCTTACTAGAAGTAAGCCTCATTCACAGCTGAGTTTGTTTAGTATTCCCAATCGCGGAACATTTCAGGTTTCTGATTAAGTCTTTTTGTGTTAATATCAGGTGACATCACGGAAGGAGCAAAAGCAATACTGGGCTAATCGAGATGAACCTTATAAGTTTATTACTTTGAGGGAATTTTCAGACAAGTTCCAGTCTTTTCACATTGGACAGAAGCTAGGGGATGAGCTTGGTGTTCCTTTTGACAAATCCAAGAGCCACCCTGCTGCTCTAACCACACAGAGTTATGGTGTTAGCAAGAAGGAATTACTGAAAGCTTGCTCAGCTAGAGAATTCCTTCTTATGAAGAGGAATTCATTCATCTATATATTCAAGATAGTACAAGTGAGTAACATTTAAAAGAATTGAAAAAAAAATTACCCTTTTAAGCTGTTGAATACTAATCTTGAGGTAAACAAAACATTCTGTTCTACTTTCCAGCTTATCATAATGGATTTCATAACAATGACACTATTCCTACGAACGGAGCTGCACAAGAATACAGCAAGGGATGGGGGTGTTTACTTGGGTGCACTGTTTTTTTGCTGTAATGATGATTATGTTCAATGGATACTCAGAACTTGCCCTCAGTATTATGAAGCTTCCAGTCTCTACAAACAGCGCGATTTTCTCTTCTTTCTTGCATGGGCATATGCTCTGCCTACATGGATTCTTAAGATACCAATCACACTTGTAGAAGTTTGCATTTGGGTGTGTATGACTCATTATGTTGTAGGATTTGATGCAGTTAGTGGGAGGTAAAAAATCAGTCTTTTTCATTCCTATGCAACAGTGTCTTCAGTTCCCAATCTGATGGAGACTGATTCACAATTTGCAGGTTTTTAAAACAGATATTGCTTCTTACATGTGTTAACCAGATGGCCTCGGCACTATTTCGCTTATTAGCAGCTCTTAGAAGAAATCTAAGAGTTGCAAACACATTCGTATCATTTGCACTACTTACAGTTATGGTTATGGGTGGATTCGTTGTATCTAGAGGTAAAATTTCATGCAGTGTTGAGAAACTGCACAAAATGTCATTGCTGTCAATGAATTTCTCGGGAAGAGTTGGGTGCATGTAGGTAAGAGATTATGAACTTCTATTAAAACGAAAAAACTGTCAAGGCTGCATTATTGAAAGTTGACCTTTTCTTTGGTTTGCAGGTTCCTCCAAACTCCGCAGATACCTTAGGTGAAACACTCTTAAAATTGTGTGGACTCTTTCCATCTGCAAGTTGGTATTGGTTAGGAGTAGGAGCTCTTCTTGGATATATATGTTTTTGCTCTTCAATTTCCTTTTTTCAGTGGCCCTAACTTATCTCAACCGTAAGGATTCAGAAACTCGTGTTATGCAACCTATTCTCTATACCATCTATAGAAGGAATACACATTGACTAAGTGGGAGAGCTATTTGTGCAGCTTTTGGGAAACCTCAGCCAATTCTATCTGAAGAAACTGTGACAGACAGGATAGCCAACACAAGGGGTGGGGCTACTGAATTATCAACAGTAGAAAGGAGATCTTTTGATATATATAGTTTACAAAAACGCAGGAGGAAATGAAGTTCTACGAAGTGCATCTTCCAGGTTTATGTCTTCAAGAGTAGAAAGCATCAACGAGGCCGATGCAAACAGGAACAGCAAAAGAGGAATGATTCTTCCTTTTGAGCCCCTTTATATAGCTTTTGATGATATCAGATATGAGGTAGATATGCCACAGTAAGTTGCAGTATTACTCATTAGAAAATTTAGTATTATAACTGTTTGAAACTACTTCACAAGCAAATGCTGCAGATGATAAAAGCTCTACTTGTTTTGATCTAATTTTCTATCCTGCACAAAATAAAAGTAATGATGTGACTCCAGGAAATGAAAGCTCAGGGTATTACTAAGGTTCAGCTTGAACTCTTGTAAGGCGTAAGTGGTACTTTTTGACTTGGAGTTTTGACAGCTTTATGGGTGTTACTGGAGGTGGTAAGACCACCCTGATGGATGTCTTAGCCGGAAGTAAAACTGGTGGACACATAGAAGGAAGCATCACTATATCAGGGTACCCCAAGAAGCAAAAACATTTGCTCGAATAGCAGGATACTGTGAGCAAACTGTCATTCATTCACCACATGTGACAGTATATGAATCCCTGCAATATTCTGCTTGGCTTCAGTTGCCTCAGGAAGTTGACACTGCAACTAGAAGGGTAAATTTAAGAAATAAGAAAAATCACTCAGGTAATGCTTATAGAAACTAGCTCCTAAACTAGATATTGATGCTGCAGATGTATATTGAAGAGGTCATGGAGCTTGTAGAGTTAACCCCATAAAGAGAATTAGTCGTTGGAGTGAATGGTCTATCAACTGAATAGCAAAAGAGACTTACAATTGCAGTTGAGCTTGTTTCCAATCCTTCCATTATATTCATGGATGAACCAACCGCAGGACTAGATGCTAGGGCAGCTGCAATAGTGATGAGGACGGTGAGAAATACAGTAGATACTGGTCGAACAGTGGTATGCAACCATTCATCAGCCAAGCATCGACATATTTGATGCTTTTGATGAGGTGAATACATTTTCTTTGTTTAATTTAAATAATTTTATTTAGAGACAAACAACTTAATTCTTCTACAACAAACTCTGCAGCTGCTACTTCTAAAATGGGGAGGTGAAGAAATATATGTCAGTCCCCATTAGCACGCCATTCTACTCAGCTTATTAAGTATTTCGAGGTGAGAAAAATATAGATAAGATAATTGGCATCATAATGCTGGCTAGGTACTAAAACAAATAGCTCTTTTCTCTTTTGCCTCAGGGAATTGATGGAGTACCTTAGATAAAAGAAGGTTATAATCCTGCAACATGGATGTTGGAGATCACTACTGCAGCACAAGAAGGGCACTTCTTGGAATTGACTCTGCAGAATTGTACAAGAACTCAGAGTTGTGTAAGTATGGAATTCTTTTTGAAACTTTAGTTGAAACTGAACAGAACTTGACATGTTTAATCATGATTCTAAAAGTAGACTCGTTTACCACATAATTTAGGAGAAACAAAGCATTAATTAAGGAACTAAGTGTGCTATCCCCACGGTCAAAAGATTTATACTTCCCTACAAAGTACTCTCAGTCTTTCTTCACACAATGCATAGCTTGCCTCTGGAAACAGCACTGATCAGTGATCATACTGGAGAAATCCTCCATACACGGCAATCAGGCTTCTGTTTACAATCTTCGTTGCTCTGATGTTTGGAACAATATTCTGGGATCTTGGCTCCAAGAGGTAAAGAGGAAAAAAATAAAAAGATACACTACAAGAACTGCTCCTGATTTTCAAGACATTTGTTTCTCTTAGTTTCAGGTCTAATGTTTTGCTTGCACCAAATTTCAGGGGAAGGCAATGAGATCTTTTCAATGCCATAGGTTCTATGTATGCTGCTGTTATGTTTCTTAGTGTGGAAACTTCTTCAGCAGTTCAGCGAATCATCTCCATCGAGAGAACAGTTTTCTATAGGAAAAGAGCAGCTGGGATGTATTCAGCTCTACCTTATGCTTTTGGGAAGGTACAGATTCATATTCCTCGATGGATTGGCACTGATTCCTTCAAAATCTTGGAAACCTTCTGATGCCTAAAGGATAAACTGTCATGTCCTGCAGTCGCGGAAGCATCTTATATTAAGGGGTGTCATTTAGCCATACACCATTTGAAAATAATACAAAGTAAAAATCAATTTTGTGACAGAGAGTAAAATACTTAGAACCATCGAAGTCCCTGACATCCACACATTTGCAAGATGAACCTTTACATATATATGAGCACTTCTTGTTGAAAATTCCGTGTACTCCACTGATATCCTAGTACCATAACCTCTATTAACCATCATCATGGAATATTTTTGGTTATGCAGATTATGATTGAGCTCCCTTACCTATTCATCCAGACAATGATATATGGAGTCATAGTATATGCCATGATAGGATATGAGTGGACAGTTACCAAGTTCTTTTGGCATATGTTCTTCCTGTACTTCACCTTGCTATATTTTACGTTTTCTGGGAGGTAATCATATGACAGAAGTTCCCTTTTTTTCTTTTCACCATTTTTTCCCTGCTCAATTTAAGAATGGAAAACTTTATTTCATATGCATTTATATACTCTGTATACAAACACAAACATTTGCACTACTCTGGATATAGAATATGGAAACTGAAAGCACTACGGCCGCTAACAACAAATACTTGCAAGGTAAAAAATATTTAGAAACTATATATATAAGAAAATGATAAATCAACCACTTAAAAGATGAACACATAACTTTCTTGCTCAATAAGACCAAAAGAAAGTTCAAATTCCTACATGGTCATTCTCAGTATAATCTGTAGTCTAATGAAACTCAGCTGTAGATTCCCATACACAAGAAGACATAATCATTCGAAGTGCGGCAATCATTCAGAATCCATATAGTGAATTTCAAAAGCTCCAGCATGAACATAGCACAAGCATACAAACTCGCACACAATGCGGATTCAGTTCTCAATTGAAATATATACATGGGATTATTCAAAAAACACAAAAAAAAAAACACATCTCATAAGGTACTGCCAACTGGATGATAGACTTAAGTTCTTCAATTCACTACCGCAACATCCGATCGAAGACATATGAGTCCACTGGAGCATCTCCTGCAATCTGAAGTGATGAGACAGCCTGTGCTGCAAGAAGCTCAGCAGAAATTCTTTGAACCTCCCAATTCCCTTCATCAAACCATTGATGGTGAACATTCCCTACCCAAGGTACAGAAGACACCATCCACGCGGTATTTTCCTGCTCATTCCACATGCATCCATCTCCATTGGGACCAGACACCCACTGTGTTCCTTCAACTGAATATATTGAGAGGTCTTGATGAGGAAGCATTGCTCTTTCTCCACCCATAAAAAGGTCAAAATTTCTAGCAAGATCCCATTGGTTGACTTCTTTATCCTTCTTAAGCAAAAGCTCACATGAATCATCTGATTCTTCACCTACCAAGACATGCAGAGCAACTGCCTCAGCAATCGCAGCACCCTCTTCATCAAGCTTTTGCTGTTCTTCTTTCTTTTTCTGTTTCTTCTTTTCCAATTCTGAGCGAATGGCAGCTGAAGTAGCCAAGGCTTTCTCTAAGCGCCTCTTTTTTTTCTCAGCCTGCTTAATTCGATCCATCTCATCCTTTACTTGCTTCTTCTTCCCTTTTCTAACAGCAGGCGAAGCTTTAGCACATTCCATCTTGTTGACAAATTTTGAGATCTACTGTCCCTAGACCTTCTCGAATTTCCTTTTGTTACAAGTTTCTTTAAGAGGTATACATTATCTCTACAACTATTTATTTCTCTTTCCTTTTATATCCTGTTATTAATACTATAGCGAAAACTAATGATTCCAAATATGAAAAACTATTATGAAACCAGTATACTAAAATTATACCTACACCCACTCAGGTATGAAGGAATACCTCATTTTGCGCACAATACAATCCCAAACAGAAACAACAGGAGAATGAAGAAGAGAAGACTGGTAAGCATTCACAAGCCTGTCTCTCACCATTCTTCCCGGTTTCCCACAACCCTTGCATTTATCCATAACCCAACAAATACCAAACTAATATCGTGACTGAAATTTGATAAAGTATCTGTTCCACTCTTTTTCAAATGACTCCCATGGCCTTCCCTCCTATAAGCGGACAAAAGAAACTTAGTATGTACATAAACTGTATTAGAATGACAATATTTTCACAACACAACTAATAAAGACTATACCACATCATAAGTCTCACAAAAAGAACCACACAAATGAAATATCATCATGACTCGTGAGCCTCCATAAGCAAGATGCTTTACAACATTTTTTTTTATAATGCGAAAGATGCTTTACAACAATTAACTTGCTTATCACGAGAACTCTTTGACTAGATATAACTAACATCTCCACCACCACCACAGCAACAGCTAGAAAGATAGGACATGAACAGATTAATCGCAACATTAACAAGTGATTCTTTCTTGGGTGGAACAAATGCAGGTAGTCAACCAAAGCCAGCCATTGAGTATATTTCAAAATTGACGGCTGGGATTAACGTTCACCCCAAGATATGTAGCTTAACAAAGCATTAAAGTCCTCATACAAGCAAGGAATCTGGGTAAACAGCACACAAAATAGCCTTAGTTCTCCAACTAATTCACTTTGATCATTTGCAGGGACTAAATCCTCCATAATTCCGCTGTTCAATGTTAAGAACACCAGGAATTTTTAAGAGCTCTGGTATCAGCTAAGTATCTTGAAATTTCATTATGCATTATAATTTAACCCTTTCAATGAAAAACAAAGGAAAAACCCACTCATACTTTTAACTTAGTTGTTTCATAAAACAACAATTTATACACTCGTTGTGGAGTAAGTGTGAAAGTTCAAACGAAAAGAGAAAAGATGCGCTGAAGCGCGGTTTGGCAAAAACTCAAACTTTACTGTTTTCTTTATAAGAGAAAAGACCCAATTTGTTTTCATGCAACAATAAGCTAGCAATCAGTAGCTGAATTAGTACACTTCTTTCCAAATTAAATTAGCTAGCCATATGTAGCTGAATTAATCATAAATCTCTAATTGTTCCACAAATAATTAGATAGCACACAGTTTCCTAAAAGAAAAAATAGGGGCCTGGGACTCAGTAAGTAACTTGAGAAAAACCTAATTGTTTCATAACAGCATAAGTTAGTATTCGCAGTTGGAACTAGCTCACTGTTTTCCCAATCAAGAACACCATTAGAGAGCGGGGCAAGGAAGTAATTGAAGAAACCCCAATTTCACAAAATTGAAATCATCTTAAGATGCTACTGGAAATCCAATTCAACATCAATAATCATACATAAACAACAAAAAGAAGAAAAACCCCAATTCAATTTAGTTCATATCCAAATTAAAAATGTAATTTTGATAATCCTACTCGACCCACATCCAAAAGCCTCAATTTTTACCAAAATCAACCACTGTTACACGATAATATGATCAGATCGAACATACCCACGAGCCACACAGATCTTAATTCAACATAAATCATAG